CGAGCAGTCTCAACCCCAAATCACACACAGGTACACCCAACACAGCAGCACATGCATAAGATATAAAGGAATGCGAAGCACCAGAATCAAACAAAATCATCACGTCCTTACCAGCAGCTTTGCCCTTCCCCTTCACAAGGTCAGAAGAAGTCGAAGCCTCAGCACCTGTCAAAGCAAACACCCTACCAACAGTAGTGGGTCTATCACCCCTCTGAGTATCAACTCTCTGTGCACTACTCCTCTGAGTCTCAGCCCTCTGCCCATCACTCCTCTGAGTGCTCCTCTCAGGTCTACTCCTAGTGGGACAGTTGGACGACTCGTGGCCCATCTGATGACATCGAAAATAGCAGCTCTCCGTGTGTGGATAGTCCTTGACAAAGTGGGGTCCGGCACACCTGTAACATCTCAGAGCGGCACCTCCACTCTGTCTACCTCCACTAGCAGCACTGGAAGATTGCCGAGCAACAGAACCCCCTTGCTGTGACTGGGGCCTGTCATATGGCTTCCTCTGACTCTCACCCTTCTTAGACCCACATGGCCCCCCAGCAATTCTCATAGCACGGTTACCACCTTCCAACCGCTCCACCACCTTTGCCTTCTCCACTAAGGCCGGGAACTCAGTGATAGCCATAGGCACCACCACCCTCCTCAACTCATATCTCAACCCATCAGCAAATTTCTGGCATTTTCAGGCCTCAACTATACCTTGCGAATAAAAACGAGCCCAGATACTCGAATTTCATCGCATATTCCGAAACCGTCATCCCTCCCTGGTGTAACCTCATAAACTCAGCCTCCTTAGCGTGTCTCACACTTTCAGGGAAGTACTTCTCCATGAACACTGTCCTGAAGCACTCCCAATCAACTGTGACTCCTCTAGCGGCAAGCATCTGATAGGTGTCTCTCCACCAATGTTCAGCCTCCCCAACAAGCATATACACAGCATATGCTAACCTCCTCCACGGGTCCGACGGAGACTCCCCACCAGACACCTACCTATCCCTGCTCTGCTCCCATACATAGTATGATCATCACAGTCCAACACCATGGAGACAACCAAAGGGTAAGCTAGTGTAATTAAAAATCAACATGCAAATATATATATATATATATATAGCAAATAATAACAACAGATACAGTTATCAGCACATCGGACAGCTTATACCACTCAACAATATCAGCACCGCAATGCGGCAATACCAGCACTGCTTAGCAGCAACAACAACACCGCTCAAGTGGCTATAACGACACCGCAAAGCGGCAACAACAGCACTGACTTAGCGGTTATAACAGCACCACATATGTGGCTAATAACAGCACCGACTCAGCGACTATAATATCACACAACTCAGCACAGCACAGCATATCACAGCACGTCAATTCAACACCTTCATTGTTTCCCACAATTCAGCCCAACCTTCTATAGTTCCGCTATAATATAAAAGTTTGCATATTAAATTCATCGATTTCAGCTTAACAATACACCTCTAGTACGGCTAACATTATTATCTCAGCTTTATCCCATAGCCAACACAACATATTCATCAAATACAACTTAGTTCAGCATATAACAAGATTGATTAACAATCTCAGTGCAATTCAACAGCTAACAACATGTATGTCCATATCTCTTTGCGCGCCCGGCGCACTCGAGGTTGCGCCCAACGTGGCCTAACCCCGAGAACATCAGGACCAGCGCGCCCAGCGCAAGAGTACTCGCGCCCGGTGAGACTCAACCCGATAGCACCAAGGCTCTCACGCGCCTAGTGCAATTCCCAATTGCGCCCAGCGCCTGCCTGGCAGAGACTCAAGGAGTCTCGTGCGCTCAGCGTGGCCTAACCCGCGCCCGGCATGGGGAAGGCAGGGACTTACCAAGGTCTCGCGCCCGGCGCAATTCGCATTGCGCCCAGCGCCCTCTTGGCAGAGACTCCCAAGGAGCCTCCGCGCCCAGCGAGTTCAAACGCGCGCCTAGCGCTGCACCAGAGTACCCAAGACATGTCACCATTGATATCGCGCCCGGCGCAGCCCAAGTCACGCCCGACGCGGGCCAACCAGAGACTCCCATTTGCAAGCTCACCCGGCGCACACAGCCTTGCGCCCGGCGGACTTGCCTAAATTGAGTGTCCTGGTGGTCGCGTGCCCGGCGCGAAGAACAGCGCCCAACGCGAACTCATCAGTAACTCCCCCCAAATTCGAAAAATTTCTAAAACCTGCAAAATTTCACAGAAAACTCACATGCAAACGGTTTAAAGTGCCACATTTTCATCAAGGAGCTCGAAAGTACCAGCTTTATGCGCATGCAACAACAGATCAAACAAAATCCCAAATTTTGACTCAAAACCATAAAACCCCAAAACCCCAATTTTTCCAGCAACTCAGCCAAACACAATCAATCACCAGTAGCCAAATGAGTTCCTAAACCCATTTTCCAGCCCAAAAACGCAGCCAAAATACTAACTTCCCTTACCTCGGTATGAAGAAATCCGAGCGTCGGGGAGAACGCAAAGAGAAAACGAAGGAAGCTTGATCACGGGAAAGGAGAATAGAGAACTTCCACACCAGCTAGCAACCCACTTCACTCAGTTCCACCACCTAGCAGCAGCAAAAAGGAAGGTCTAAGTGAAAAGGGGAAGGATTGAGAGTGAGATAAAAGAATGAGGGAGTGAGAGTTTAGAGAGGAAGAGGGTTGAGAAAAGAAAGAATCCGTACAGGTCTTACAGCACGCATATATAGATCAACTAATATAGAAAACTTTCAATTTTTAATTTAACTAGTAATTTCAAAATTTGAGGTATAAATATCCAATTATATTAAATATATAAAGGAAGATATTTACTGGCATATTGCCCACCCAACTTAGGAATATTATTGTTTATACTTTATACAGAGAAAATAAACGTTGTCTATAAAAAAAAAATTAAAAATGAAAACCACGGACACAATGGTGAAAACAGTGTTTTAAATTGTGTGGTCGCAATATTACCATCCCAATTGCGATGAAACTAAAAATTACACATTTTTTTAAAACAATAAAATATTTTATTAAAAAAAGAATTAAAACAATAAAATATAAATCTTTATTTATTAAAACAATAAAATATTTTTTAAAAAAAGAATTAAAATATATAAATTTTTAAAAATAAAATATATATTGATAATTATAAAATTTTTATATTTAATATAAATAATTAATAATTTCATACCGATTGCAATCCGCATAAAATATCCAGAATACCCATAACCGCAATCGCGATCGAAACCAGCAATTTAAATTCATGAAATTCATGGGTGAAAATGAACCCTAAAAAGTTATCCACATGAACAGTCACACCTGACACCGGGACAAAGCAGAAGCAAGTGTCTCTTTGAGTCTATGACTCTTGCATCTATAGATGTGTTATAGTTTAATCATCAGCATCTAACAAACACATGTAATATCCTTGTTACCTGTTTTGTTGTTCACATCATGAACTTCAGATAAAAAAAAAAAAACTTGGTACTTTCGTTCCTGTCCAAATTTCGTTGCATTTTTCTGTTCTCGTGATTCAATAATTAATAATATTTTGAGTTTTGGAGGGAATAAAAACAATTAATTATTTTCCTGTTTGTGTGATTTCGTTTGCAGTACCATGATCCTGTGGAATTGGAATGAATATCCAAATTTGCGGAGATTCATTATCTAATTTACAATGGTCAGCGCCAGTTTTACAAAACTACTCTTGACAAAAAAATACTTTTCGTTACTTATCTTGTAAAAATACTCTAGTTTTCATTGAACTCCTTGACAAGATACTCGAGGAAAATTAATTTTTATTGTGTATCTTATCAAAATACTAGATTGAAACTAATTTTCATTGTGTATATTTGTTATACATTATTTTTCATCTTCACGATTAATCGATCTTCTCATCATTCATCTTCTAATTAAGAACTTGTATATTCACAAACATTAATAACTTGATATGTCTAATAACACAGTTCTTAAAAAATTATTCACATGATATGCAAACTTTTCCAAGATATAATTACATGTTCTTTTCAATAATTATTGAGTAATAGAATTAACAAGTATTTTCACCGAGAATAACTCATGCATGAAGAAATGTGTTGAGAGACTCTCAAAACCTTCTTATTATTATTTTTATAATTAAAATATAAAAAGTTTCTCAAAATACTATCTAAGATCAAGTCAACAAGTAAAGAGGATAAGATAAAAATCACTCTTATGAGACCAAGTAAACAAAATTGAATTAATTAAAATAATTATTTAATAAAGTTAAATTAACTAAAAATAATTTTCTAAACCTTAATTAAATAAATACATTAATCATTTTAAAATATCACTCAAAATACAAAACAATCTTACTGTAATGAAAATTAATTTTTGTCATATCAGTGACAAAAATATCAGAAAGCTGCTAGAAAATAAACAATTAAGATTCACATAGAGAAAACAATGAAGAGTAATGTTTCTACGAGGAAAAAAAATAGTAAGAATGTTTGAATGAAATGAGAATGCACCATAAAAGAGTAATGTTTCTATGAAGAAAAAATAGTAAGATGTTTGAATGAAATGAGAATCTGGGATAGGGAGATTCGGTGTAAAGATCGAATGGAGAGTGGGGCAGGGGAAGAATTTAAAAATTTTAAAAAAAAAAAAAAACATTGAATATCATTGGAGCATGTTTCAAAATCAAGCCTGGCTACTGTTTTTAAAATTGTTGAAAATGGGCTAGTATGTTAACTGTTAAGCCCATATAGTGTCCAATTCAAACTGAATCCACTTTTTTATGTTTTCACGTAGGCAGATGATAAACACACCTCCACTCACCTATGAACACACCCTCTTTTTAAAAAAATATATATAAAATATCTAAATTACCCTTAAAAAAAATAAAATTTCTAAATTTATATTCCCTTCTCTTCTCGGTACCCCCGTTTTCCGCACCTCCTTTCCCCGCATCCCACACCCTCCCTTTCTCGCACCCCACACCCTTCTTCTACCTAAACCTCTTTCCTCCAGCACCCACAGGCTCGTCCTTCTTCTCGCCGCCGAACCAGCCGCCGAGCCACGACGGCACAGCGGAGTCAGATGGCGGAGTCAGAGGAGCGGGCATCCCGCTGGGGGGTAAAGGCTCGTCGATGATGATGGGCATGGGCTGCTGGGCGCTGAGGAACTTGTTGAGCATGATGCCGGCGCCCTCGATGAGGGCGAGAAGAACGCCGCCGAACGCGGCGGAGCGGGTGGAGGCGGGGAGGCCCTGGCGCATGGAGAGGAAGCCGCCGGCGCCGGAGTTCCAGGGGTCCTCCTTCTGGCGGAGGTAGACCATGGTGCAGTCGAAGGTGGAGAAGAGGCCGCCCCAGACGGCGAAGCTGCCGCAGACGCGGGGGGCGTTGAGGCGGAGGGCCTGGGAGGCGGCGAGGAGGCGGTGGCCCTTGGGAGCGTTGTAGAGACCCTTGAGGAAGTGGAAGGCGGACCCCCGCGCGGCTCTTGTCATGTCGCGAGAAGAAGGCAATGTCAACAACAACAACAACAATGCTCCTTCTTCCGCGGCACCCATCTACCCTCCACCTATGACCGAGGACCACAACAACAGTAGCAGCAGCGGCAACAACAACAACAAGTAACCTCAACTTGGATTCAAGGTTGGTGTATCTCAACCTCGGCACCACCGCTCCAATGAGTTCCAGGTTGGACAGTGGTGAGGACGAGGAGAGAAGCCATGAAATGTAGCAGTAATTAAACCTATATATTACTGCTCCTATTTATTATATATTGCGCGGAGAAGGAGGGTGTGGGGTGAGGGGAAGGGGGTGCGGGGAAGAGGGTGCAGGGAAAGGGGTGTAAATTTAGAAATTTTTTTTAAGGATAATATAGACATTTTATATTTTTTTTTTAAAAAGGAGGTGTATTTATACGAGAGTGGAGGTGTGTTTATCATTTGCCTTTCACCTAAAGTAAATGTGCAAAAAGAAAACGTGACCTGACAAAAAAACAAAAATATATGAATCGAAACAAATTTTGACATGAAACAATAATTAATCTTATGATGAAAGGACAATAAGACAATTTAGCTACGAAATTTCGTGCTTGTTTCTTCTTATTACAACACGAAGGGGTAGAATATCGGTATACATGTACAAGGACTAAACACAGAGTAAAATGGAGTTAATTCTTCCTCCTATCTTTACTTTTAGCTGTAAAAAAACTATTTTAATTTTTAATTAAAAAACTTTATATACTGATCCCTTAACAAGTATGCTAAAAAAGGACCATAAATAATCTTATATGATTTGATAAGGAGGTATAACTAATTCTCACCCAATCAATTCTTATAGGAATAAAATATTATCTCTATTTACGAACTTATATTTATGGTAAAAATCGAATTTCAATTCACGATCAAAAAATTCAAGTACCAAACCACTTAATTAATCATTTTAGTTTGCACTCCCGTCTTCGTCCTATTGTTTTGATAATTAATCCAACTAACTCCCAAAGGTGTAATGATGCTCCCAGGTTTCGACGACCCTGTGTGGTGGTTTATTTTGTTTGAAACCTCAGTCTCTCATTTTCTCTTTTTTATCGTGCATTTGATATACTAATGTGTTTGGTTTGCATTGCTTATATAATGTTGAATGATTTAGGGGGATTTTTTGTTTTGTTTTTTAGATTGGTTATTCATTAAAATGTTGTGGATTTGTGGTTTTTGGGTTTTTTCATTATGCATACCAAGTGTTCGTAAAAGTATGCAAATAAGATGTGGTTTTTAAATATGCATGATATATTTTGTGCTAGTTTGGGACTAAGTTGAGGTATTCAGTTGGGTTTAATTGGAGTTTTTCAAGGTTGCTTTGATGCTTATTTTGGGACTAGATTGGAGAGGTTGGAAGTAATGGTTATTTTGACTCTATTAGGGCTCATTTGGAGCTCTTTATAAGTTGTGTTAGAGTTTATTTAAGAGCTCCAAAACAATCTCTTATGAATATAAGAATTCACGACTTTAGGTACTAATTAAATAAACCCAAAATTTATTTTGAGTTTTTTTAAGTTGATTATAACTTATAAAATATAAAGTAGAATTATTAACTTAAAAAAGATAATAAGTGTTCATAATCCACTTAAATCCAAAATAAATTATGGTTTTAGTTAATTAGAACATGACTTATAAAAATTTTAATTTATACCGAGTAATTTTATTTTTAATATATTAAAAATATAGAAAATATTAGTTGGACAATGCTAAGTGTATTAAATATTTCTCTCAGATCCCATTGCAAAATATTTGACATTAATTTAAACATTTTTTAGGTACCATTGGGGTTGATTTAAGGTGAAGGGTGGGAAAAATACACAAGGTCTTAAATTTGAACTTTGTTACTGTCAATGTAATTTAATGAATAAAATAAATATCTTTTAGGTATCCATAATTCTTTTACCTTTATTACAATTAGTAATTTTATTTTAAAATAATTCAATAATATACAAATTGTTACTTACGAAATATTAGGCAATAAAAAAATAAATAAAAAATTTGAATTCAAATATAAGTTTAAACAAAATTAGTTGTTTGTTCTCTTCTTCAACATCAGCAAGCTTTGTGCGTTTGCTAGAGCTAGATATATGTGGCTGTAGGGACATAGAGGAAATAGTATCTACAGAAGAAACACAAAGGAATGTGATTAAGATTGTGTTTCGCAGCTTGCAGCGTCTAAAACTTGGAAACCTGCCAAAACTCTAGGCCTTCTGCCAGGGTTATTATGATTTTGATTTTCCGTTATTTCATGAAGTATTCCTGAAAAATTACCACGTGATGGATACATTCTCTTATGGATCTTCATATACTCAGGAAGTTGGATAGAGTCATCATGGTAATTGAAAATATCACCAAGAACATAAGGATGGGAGATCTGAATGCCACTGTTCCACTATGCAAAGGAATTGTATGTAAAAATTTTCATTCCCTATCAATTTGTGCGTGAACTTTACTCAATTAGAAAGACTAAAGCCATTATAGGAGTGAAAGACAATTATGTAGTAATTAAAGATAAAAATTAGATATAATTTTTTAAGTGTAATTTGTACCGATCTTTAATCAGGAGTTTTACTTCAATAATATGCGTAAATGTATATTAATAACACTTGCATTAAATACACTTACATGATACTGAGGTAAAACTCCAGCTCTAATTTGCAAATAGCACCAACTGCACCTAGAGTTATATCCAAGTTTTGTCCATAAAATTCGCATAAATGTATATCAATAAAATTTGCATTAAATATACTCGCATAATATCAAGGTAAAATCTAACTCTAATTAAAAAATAATATCAACTGCACCTAAGAAATTATACCTAAGTTTTCTTCTTTAGTAAATTGAAAAGACTATACCATAAGAAGAGACATTCCTCTGTCAGCAAGGCTTATATCATGGACAACCATGAAGTTTTGATGAGACAAGCGATTTGCAAATCAAAATGCTTCAAGTGATTATTGAAGAGAATATAACCTTAAGTTGACCTATGATTAAGGTGTCAATTGGATAGTTTGGATAAATTTTGAGCTGGATTACAAAAGATGGATTAAAAATTCATTTATATTAGAAATGTATTGAAAAATTCAACTAAGAGCCATCTAATTAATTAAAACCATCCAACTCGTTTGTTAATCAATTTTTTTACTGATAGATATTCAACCTATATGTTTAAAAGCATATTCTATTTTAGAAATTGATTTTTATTGATTGCAACATTATTGTCAGGGGGATCACATAGTAATGAAGTAGCAACAAGTAGAAAAAGAAATGAGTTAAATGTTTCATTAACCATTCATTAATCACAACAACTCAACTCATTTATTTTTGCTTACTAAAATGGATCAAGTGAATTGGATTGAAGTATGGATGCATTGGTAGAATATGGATTAATTTGCCGCCCTTATAAAAGATGTAAAAGTCAAGGTCTAGTGTAGAGAGAGAGAGATATAGTTATCTAATCACATCAGTATACAATGAGTTACATTATTTCTACAAATACTTCCCAAACACTTCAAAATTTCTATTTTACTGTCGTCATCTGACTCATTGTCTATCATCATAGGCTTCTCTCTTCTATTTCTTTAAATTGTAAAATGTTGCAAGAATATAATTTATCTTACTTTTAAGCTATTTATTGTGCGTGCAGTTGTACAGTGCATGGATATGTAAGAATTTCTCAGCAGTTATTATATACTCACCTGATATAATATCTATCTGAACAAACCTTCACACTGAATTTGTTGACTGATTACCTTTTAAATTTTTAACAATGATGTATTGCTTCATTTACTCGCGTGAAAGTGATTTTCAGTTGTTTTTTATCAGAGAGACACTTGGATGGATCAAGCAGGATCAATGCACACTGAGATACTTCACCAAAGAAAAACACATTACTGTTGAAGGTTTTCAAATGCTTCTAAGTCTTTCTCCCTCCAATGTGATGCACATATTTCAAAATTTAAAGGAACTCACAATAAAAAATTGTGACTCACTGGTTGAGGTGTTTGAATCACATGGAGTGAATGCAAAGAAAGTGCACGCCATGATTCACTGTAAGCTAGAAGCAATGAGTTTGTATTCTCAACCAAAATTGATCCACATATGGAAAAACTACGGTGGAGTTCTGGGATTCCAAAAGCTAAGAGTACTAAAAGTTGAACACTGGCAACTTGTGTAGTTTATTCTCTCCATCAATTGCCAGAAGCCTAGTTCAACTTTTGCACCTACGAGTGTATAGTTGCCACATGATGGAGGAAATAATTACAAAGGAAGATGAGAAAACAGAAGGATCAAACAAAGTTGTGATTTCATTTCCACTCTTGAACCAGCTGGAGCTTCGTTATATTCCCAATCTCAAATGTTTCTGCTCAGGAACTTTCAGTATTGATCTCCCATCTTATGAAGAAATGATAATTGAAAAATGCCCCAAGATAGGAACCTCAAAACTCCCCTTTGTCTCTATGAAGACAAATTAATTCAGGGCTGAAGAGAGATCTAAAATAAATTAACAAAGGAAAATCACCCTGAAAGGTAGAAGATAATGATGATGAGCACTTCAATGTGCCTGAACATTGCGAAAGCACAAACATTCAAGCATATTCTTCAATTATGTTGAATCTTATGCCTTTGTGGATTTAGAATTACTTAACCCTATAACTTTAAATTCGCTATATAAATCAAGTGTCATTTGAGGTGCTCACACCCTCAACGAAGACTTGTGCTTTTCTTTTAATTTTATTACTATGAACCTGTGCCAGATTATTGCTCCTTGTTTCTATTTAAGACATGCTCTACCTAGAAAACACACTCAAGTAAATAAAAGATTGTAGAACTGCTAATTTGGTGCAAATATCCCAAAATATTGGTAAGTAGAGTCTAGTTACACTCCACTTGGTAGGTATACACATTACTAAGACTAGTGTAAAGGGGATGTTCTCATTGGTCAGCAGCTGAACCTACATGCTCTCAAAAATAAAAATAAAAAAATTGTCTCCCAGTCCAATACAAGCACGAGTAATGCATGTAACTGGTATGAAACTAGACTTATTCTTTATTAGGAGGAACTCACTTTCCCGGGATTAAGGCCTTACCTTATATTTGCCAAAAAAAAAAAAGACAAGT